CATTTTTGGAAACATCACTCCCACTACCCTTGTAAATAACTACATTGTTTGATTTAGTCAGAAGTAGTTGTTGAAGCCTCATGGATTTTAGGAGAAAATCCAGCCCCACGTCTTGCTTAGTCAACCCTGATTTCATAATTAAATAGAAAATATCCATTTAATTGGTATTCTCTAAAAAAAGTAATGATAGGGGAACCGAAAATGAATCATCAAATTAGTATCGAATTTGACGTGGTTGGTCATTCTTATCACGTGTCAAACAATTATTTTTGGAAACTATTTAAGTAGATGAGATAGACAAAAACATGTCAGATTTGATACTTATTCGGGATTAATTCATCAGTCTCCCTATCATTATTCCTCTAAAAATAGAATTTTCCATGAATCTTCAATAAAACCAACTCTTAAAAGAATTGATCTATCGTGGCTAACACCATGGTAAGCTCAGTAGAACTCGCCATGTGTTAATAAACCATTGGTTGGATGGGCCTTAACTTGAATATTTATATGAGGTTACATTTATGGTAGTGACTCTGTGCCACCTTTCTATCCTTTTAGGACATTGTATTTAAAGTTGGTAAATCCTACCAGGACTCACCACTTTCTTTTAATCAACAATTTCACGTAGTGGAATTTAAGTTGACCAATCAGTCTTTGTTTCCAAATGAAACCACGTAGTTTTAATATTCTAAAGGAAATTCTATCAGAGTTGCGATCCGGCGTGGCAAGTTCCATTGGAACTCGCCACATACCTCTTCTTTATTGGTAGACCAGATCAGTAATTCCATGTCACACCTTCCTCTTTTGGATAATTAGAGTACTAATCCACTATGGCAAGCTTACTGGAACTCGCCACTTGTCGTCTTTTCATTGGGCAAAAATAATAGAATAAACAAGTCAACATGGACAAAAACAAGATTTTATCATAGATCAGTCTAACTATTAGAAACGTTACTAATTAGCTTAATTACTTGCACCTGATGGGAAAAGGTTTGAAATGAAATGAATTGAATTTTAGCCAATTTAAAGATTTCGATCTGGAATAGTGGATTCAAAATCCATTAGGAAATGTGAATTCGAAAATTTAATGACAATCCAAATCATTTTTAATGTATTGTCTGATATAAATTTAAAAAATTAAAATATTTTACCTTTTACCAAATTTTATTAAATTTTAATTGCTTAATTTAGTTAACTATTTCTTGAATTAATAAAAAAAAAAAAAAATTAAGAACAATTTAACCCAAAAAAATAAATATAGATTACGTGTGTAACACAAACATGTATTTGTATTTTTTTTTTTTTTCTTCGATAAGTATTTGTATTACCTTTGACTAAGTTACGATTATTTGATATTTGTGTGTGGAAAATTGAAAATATCAACTGAAATTGCATATGACCATTATACCATCAACTTATTAAAAAGTGAGTAGTTTTCTACTAGTATTAGTTTTTAGAATTTTTTTTCTTTTTTTTAAATTTCCTCCAATTTTTCATCAAATTATTAATATATTAGTAATGAATTAATAGAAGGCATTGCGTAACTAAATTCTTTTAGGTAAATATCATCAAAATTTTACTTTATCCCTCATCAATTTATAAGCAAACCTATCAAAAGTTTTCATGATAATATTTTGCTAATGTTCATCCAAATCAAATGCTACACTTATAGGGGAAAGAAGTTGTGACGATTAATGTCATGCAAAAATTGCTCATTTGAACCTAATTAATAATTTAATTTTATTAATAATTGTCCATCAATCCACTTAAAAGACATTTGCAAAACAGTAACTCATGTATCAAATATTCTAAAGCTGTCGTTTTCCAAAGAACAGAGCATATTAAGCCGTATTACGTGTCATAATTTTCTTGTGAATGACCAAAAATTTCCTACTATTTCACAGTGCAAAATGATAAACAATTATAATATTCGCAAGAAAAAAATATAAAAATAAATAAATAAATCTTCATTTCCATAACCCAAGTGACCTAATACATCATAACTCAATGTTAGGTGTTTACTCTCTCAAACTTATCGCATACTCTTAATTTCACAATTGATCATATCCACCTTCTTCGCATTTAAGCCCCTAATTAATATAATTACATCTTTCAATACTTCAATTTACTCTAGTTTGTCCACCCACCCTTCTCACCTACAAAATTGAGTTTATGTAGAGACACTTTAAACTTCAAAATGGACGAGTTTGGACATCATAAAAGTACAGATTCAAAACAATGTTAGGTGCTTACTCTCCAAAGAATCCATCTCGATATGGCACTCTCTTAATTTCACTTCTGTATCCACCTTCATCGCATCTAAGTTGGCAAACTTTGCATACGTTTATTACATACTTCCATTCAAGTTGAAGAACTCTCATCTTGTCCACCCTTCCCACCTACAAAATAGAGTTTGTATAGAGATACTTTAAACTTCAAAATGGACGAATTTGGACATCATAAAAGTCCAGATTCAAAACAACTTGTACTCCAAACTCTACTTTCAAAGATCAAATTGTATCTCTATAGTTAACGCTCCTTTAATTAAGTGTGTTGATTTAGAAATGAGCAAATTTTGCACCATCAAAATGTTCGTCCAATTTTTGAATTAAAAATAAATAAATAAAATTGGTTTTAAACTTAGTTTTTGAATAAATAAAAAATAAATAAACTTGGTTTTTGAATAGGTTATATACTCGGAGCTTAACTTTTCTCTATCATTTATCTAGCTAACAGAATTCACATAACCAACTCAAGATATTTGGAAAATAATTTTGTGTAGTTGAGAAAACTCACCGAGTTTAAGTAAGCTTGTTGCATACTTAGATTCAAAGTTAAGTGAAACGGTCACTTTCAGGGATGGATGCACATTCAAGCGTGTGAGGGCAATTGCCCCCAGAATTTTTATTTTTTTTAATATTTGACCTTTATGATTTAGTCATTTTCAGTAATATACTCATAAAATATTACATTTGCCCCTACTAAAATTACTAAAAAAATGCACAATTGCCCCCACAAAATTTATTTTTGCCCCCACTTACCTTTCATCTTGCCTCGTCCCTGGTCACTTTGTCTCCCTTTACCCGGAAAGAATATAAATTGGTTGACATTCCAGGGTTACATTAGTATAATAATTTTTTTGGCATGTCATGTCCATGACACAACAGTTGGTTTAATTTGATTTTTATTTTTGGCTCATTATGAATTAGAGAATTGGTACTTTAAAATATATATAGAGCATTTGAAGTAACACCAAATTGAAACTGAACCTATGCAATATTTAATAAAATAAAAGTGAAACGCTCAAAACCACAAAATAAATTATGAATTATGAATTTATGATCTATTGAGGGCAACTTGCGCAGGAAAGATTCTATAATTGAAATGAAAATCAACCATAAGTGAAATGAAAATCAAAATTAAACGCACTAAGTATTCTATCTATTCCATTCCAAATAAAGTATTTCATTTTTCTTATCTTTTATCAATCCCAGTAACACTTCTTCATAGTTTGTCCTAACAACCTTTCTATAAAAAACAATCAAATCAAACCCCACTTTACATTAAAAATTGAAATATAGCTTTCAAATTAGGGAGGTTTTAATCAAACAAAATACTGGATGATATCTTCACTCTGCTTATGATATCTTCTATTTTGCGATGAGTCATTTTATATTATTTTTTTTTTGGTTTCCTCCACTATTTCATAAACTTAATAATAAATTAGTGATAAATAGAATATATAAAAAAAAAACATTGGCTAAATTATCAAAAGTTAGTATCTCCCTCTTTAATTCATAAGCAAGAAAGACTTCAATGTTATTATATGCTAATATTCATTCAAATGGAATGGCTATATGCATGGGTAAAAAAAATGTGATTATCAATGTCACGCGAAAAAATACTTATTTGAACACAATTGATAATTGTTAATAAAAATTATTTATTTGAACACAATTGATAATTGTTAATAAAAATAACTTATGCTCTCAAAAGAAATTCTCAATCCATGTTGTGACATATTCTTCGTGTAGTTTGTCAGTTGTTAAAGAATAAAATATATCACTCTCCAAAATGAAAAAACCATGATAAAAGAGTAGTGATAGTTGTGTGGATGTGGAGCCCTTAGGCTCCCCCATTCATCTTGCTTTTTATGCCCGCCAATTATTTTTCTAGCAAAAAAAAATATAAAAATAAAATAAAATAATAAATAAAAAAAATAAAAAAAGCCCTCCATGGATGATTACAAGTTTCAAGACTTTAATTTAGTTATAAGATGGCAAACTCAGTATAGTTTATTACACGCATAAATTCAAGTTTAAAATGAGTCTTTTAAACATTTTGTCCACCCTCTTCTACAAAAGGAAATAACTTGAAATTCAAAACTGGTCCAGTTTGGACGCCATACACATGTTTACAAAATAATTAAGTTGGTGTTGTTTTATGTCGTTTTTGTTTTTACATTGATTTATTATAGAGTCTGGACTTGGGTAAAATATCCATTGCATCCCTTTTAAACTCGTTGTACTTTGTCACATTAAATTTAGTAAATTTTCTCTTAAAATTATTGACTAAAAATTTCAAACCATTCAAAATTTCTTTTTCAAAAAAAAAAAATAAATTAATAAAAGAACTAGAGATTCTTCGATCTCCATAAGAATTTTTTTTTTTTTTTTCTCTTATGTATTAATGAGATAAACCTTCCAAGCCTGCACTCTATTCCATTTCAAGGACGCTATCCCAAGCCATAAGAGTCACTCTTGGATTTTCTAAAATGTCTTGAAACCCAGTCCGGCCCATCTCTCTTAACAGCTAAAAGCCCAACTGGCTCCGGCCGGCCTTGCCCATTATGCACCCTTAAATGTACCAGGTAAAATAATAAAAATAATTTTTACTTAGTTTAGCCCTTAAAGACGTTTTAATTATTATAAACTAATTATTATTTATTAAAAACAATTATTAAAAACTCCAACAGACAATTAATTATTAAAAACTAAAAACGGAGGGTCGGCCAAAGGAGCCAACCCTATAAAAGTCCACAAATTATGTCAGCCATATGTCTTGATAGCCATACAGCACTCATCGCAAAGGACGAGCGTGGCATAATTAGCCAACTGACCCTTTTAAATTTCAAAGCACCCACCCACCCTTCATTTTATATGCTACTCTTCTCCTCCTGTTTCCTTCTCCTTTTCGATGTGGGACTTTTAAGCATCAAGTGCCCAACCCAAGTCATATTTCACCGACTTCTTGTGTCTGTACTCTTTTACTTTTTTTGTCAGAACAAAATATATATATATATATTATATATAGGATTAGAGTCATTGTCGCATTAGCACAAAAAAATATCCTCATGAACAATTCCATTATCAATGCTTCAAGTCACGAAATCAAACTCCGAAGGCTAAAGTTAATGTGTTGGATTTTCTTATTGCTTCAAGTTCTATTATCACACACTACAATTCAAACTTAAGCTTAAGAACGGTCACTCAGTCAAATATATTTCTTCATAATCGAATATATTTCTTCATAGTTCATAATCAAGGCTTTCATGGAAGAATAGCTGGTTACTTAGTCGAATATATTTCTTCATAGTTCATAATCAAGGCTTTCATGGAAGTTTCGACACTCGTGATAATAAGTTGGTAATATTACTAACGGACCAGTGACCTTTTACCTCCTTTTGGAGTTCAAATCTCAGAAGAGATAAGCATGTGTAAATACCAACTAAGAAAAGAAAAGTTGGTAATATTCATCCAATTTCTTCACTTTTGCTATACGCATAAGTAAGAAAGTAATGCAAATAAATGCTCATTTAAATACGGTTGATACCACTTCAATTTTATTAATAAAAGATAACAAATCCAACTTATGCTCTTAAAGGACATTTGAAATCCATCAACTCAATTGTCACACATATTCTAGAGCATAGTTTTGTCATTTCCCAAAGAATAGAAAAAAGTTTACTTGTATGCTTTTCTTATGAAAGACTAAGCATGTTGCAAAATGATAAACCAGTATAAGTCCATAGCCAAAAAATTGATCCCTTCCCACCTAATCTAGTTGTAAGATGGCAAGATCAATATACTTTTATAACGCACATAAATTCAAGTTTAAAACGAGTCACTGTTCACCTTTCCTCATCTACAAAAGAAAGTTCACATAGGGAAACTTTGAACTTCAAAACCGGGCGAGTTCGGACACCATTCTTGACCTGATTCAAAAGAATTTGTACTATAAACTCGTACTTTCAAATGTCAACTTCGTTAACATTCCTTAATTACGTATTCATATAGAACTTAGCAGAAGGAATAATATAGTAAAAGGCACCTCCAATATATGCTTTCTTTTACACATCTCAGATGTCCTCATGTGTTGACATCTCATTCTGCTCCTTGTTAACATACTAAAATTTTCTTTTCAAAACTGAAAATTCCTTCAAACAAGACCAAAAATTGAACATTATGCAAGAGAGAAGTGCTACTTAAGTTGCACCACAAGGGACCATCATTGTTACAATGGCCTTGGAATTGATAATCTGTTTACAGTCACAAGCATAAATTGAAAAAACAAACTCAGGCAATAGACCATCCAAATAACACTGAAATTGAAACTACATATGCCCCTACATGAAGATCAAACGATACCATGCAAGGAAGAAGGGAAAAAAAAACGTATCTACAGCTCATGAAACAAGTCCGAACAAAATCTCATCCCAAAACAAGCACAATAAAATGGAATTGCAAATACTACCAACTCAAAACTTTTACCTACATTATGTGAGGAGAGACTTGTTGGAGCACGAAACTTAGTTTCTGGATACATCATGCACTCAGAGCTTAACTTCTCTGTCATATATCCAGCTAAATTTAATGGTGGGTCCTTCCTTCGCCCTTCCTTGAGCTCTCTCCTCCAGCCTCCTAATTCTCGGAGGTAACCCACAAACATAGTCCTGAGCTTTTCGCCCATCTGCAGAAAGTCCAGTTAGCTCTTCCACTTTCCATTTGGTAACCAAAAATTCCAGTATATCTGCATAGTCTCTAGCAGTGTAAACTTCGAGCCGCTGAGCAACAGCTGAAAAGTGCTCGAAAAGGTTGTCATCACGGCCATCATACATCAAGTGGGCTGGCATAGAGATTTTTTTTCTCATCATGTCTGCAAAAGCAAGGACGGTCCCATCAGGATCGATCTCGAAGAGCTTCTCCACAATCTTAATGTAAGCAGTTTCATGGCGCTTCTCATCTGAGGCAATTGTGCCACAAATTTTAGCCAGCTGCGGGTCCCCGTGATCCTTGGCATGTCTAGCAGTGTTCCCATGCGAGATAAAAGTTGCCCGTTCTTGGAACGAAGTGTAGATAAATCCAAGATAGGGATTGTTCTCAGTCCGGGGATCCTATTAAAAGACATTGTAAACGGAGAGGGAAATCAAAATTTGAACTAGCAAATCATTCTGATAGATACCAAAAGTAAAGAGCCCATACACCATATCAATAATTTGTGATGTAAAAAGCAAATCTGGAATTTGAGAGAACTTTCATGCATTCAAATAGGATCAGGATCAGGATCGGAGAGCTGCAGGCAGCCTAGTCTAAATCCATTTCATAACAATGAATATACATTACAAGTTCATATCACAAACCCAACAAAAACAAAATATGTAAATTACTTGCATCCTTAACATTTAAAAATAATATATATATATATATAAACAAAAACTAAAAATAAAATAAAAATAAACAGTTACTAAAGGAAAATAAAAAACCGCTCACTGTTTAGATTTAATACATAAATATATACATACATACATGCATACATATATAATCTTTAAACTTCTTCAGAAGAATTGTACCCGGCAACACAAATAAATGGAGGGCTCTAGGAATAAAGTTGCATTGCCTTGAAATACCAACCAATGGCAATGTAATATTAAAAAATCAGACAGAAAACAGTTGGAGCAGCATAATAAAGATAATATTATTATAAAGTAGTAAACTAGTTTGTATATGTGCCTTTATACATGTATGTGTGATAGTACATATTGATGTGTATATGTATTCAACAAGAAAGACTGCTGCTCCTAGAAATTTGAACAATGATTGGATCAGAAAACTAGATACAATTCTTAGTTGGAGCGCTGCCCTATAATCTAGAAAGTGAAACTGTTCATAGGTATTTGCATAATTTAAAGCATCTTCTTGCAACAAAGTTTACAAGTGTAGCTGGTATCCAACTATTTCTTAGATCTATTTTACAGCTAACCAAAATCATGCTTGCTTTTCTTTTTTCTTACTGGTAAGTACTGAATAACCAAATTTGAAAAATAAGAAACATGACAGTAAAAATGCACAGAAACATAAATGTAAAGCACATGCAGCAAGGATCTCACCATTCCTGACCCAATCAGATACTGAATTGTCTTCTCAATTTGCCTCATGTCAACTCGTCCAGATAGGTAAAGATACTTATTGAGAAGGTCACCATGCCTGTTTTCTTCAGCAGTCCAGGCCCTTGTCCAAACTGCCCAAGAAGTAGGGCTCGCCCCCGTTTCATCTCGAACACCATCTAGGGTATTAAGCATTGTTTGGTATGTTGGAAGGGCTTCTTCCGTGATCATATCACCAACCAAAACAACAAAGTAATCATCAGGGATCTCCTTTGCCCTCTCCCTTAGTTCCTTGACTTGATCATGAAATCCATCAGAAGCAGGATCTGGAAGAAATTCCTGTGGTTGCCAACATTTTTCCACTGGCTTCAGGTGAACCAATATGTTCTGCTCAGCCCAACCCTCCAGAGATTTGAAGATCTCAATCTTCTGGGGTGGCATGGAATGGGTTACTTGAACATGAACCTCACGGGGAGGACTAAAGGGCTTCTTGAGATTCTCAACCTCCCTAAAGAAAACAGAAGCAACTGAGATTAGATGCTTAGAACCTCATAGGTCACAGCAAGGCAAAGACACTGGTGTATAATCAATTCCAATCAATATAATCACATATTGCCTATAAGTAATCTCAATTAATTCAATTATTCAAATATATTTATTGGCTCCTATTGTCACCATATCTTCTGCAGATGTAGGGTTCCACTACTTACAAGTGCACATAGTCATGTCCTTTTTGTTCTTAGGAGTTACATCACATCTAATACTTATAAACACATGCCAAGCACATTACCTTACAGAAATATCATGACAGCGATCCAAACAAGTATATGAAAATATAATAGTATAAAATATATATGCAGGAGATCTTATCTTCTTTTTCATTGATCTGATGATTTAAATAGCATACCCGATCAAATGAAAATCCAAGCTCAACAAAATTTCTGATTTCTTGTTTATGTCCTAATCAAGACCAAATTTTGAAGATGTTCAGGGTACACAGAAAATGCCAAGTTCAGTGAACTATACAATCAAGGAGTGGTGAGATAGGTTTTTTATTTTTAGATTCAATTTTACTGTTGAACCTTGAGACACTAAGACATGCAGATTTGATGACAAGAAACAAATAAAAAAGGAAAAGGATATTAGCTGGTTATAGGAAAAAGTCATCAACAGGATAAACTTTGCTCTTAGGCCTCATCATCACTTTTCCTTAAATCACTTCATTGGAGCTGTAGATAAGTTACAGGAGCTCAAGTCCTCAGATAACCTAAGAAGATGCGATGAGATCATTTTGAATTTAGGGGTTTAGATGTCTTTGTTTACATATTGGCACCCAATATGATTCCGACTTGGTTAAATAACTTAAATGACATCAAAACAGAACTTCCAGATGAAAAAACAAAAAAAAAAAAAAAAAAAAAAAAAGTAGTCCTTTATGAATTGACAACCAAGAGCAGGATATCTAGCCAGGACATTCAGTAGCTGTGCCTTCTATTTCAATGGAAAATTTGATTTGTGAAGATGTGAATCTATTAAATTTGGAGGGCATGCTGGACAGCTGATACACAAACACAGTTTACAAAATAAACCAACCAAGTTTCGCTGACTATTGCATTTGGATTATGCAAAAATCTCAGAGGGGCCAAATACAATCTCCTTAATGAGATACTTATGCAAGTTTGATATCATATAGGGGTGGCAATTTGTGTTTTGGTGTCGTGTCATGACATGGGTATCCTATGATATGGACAAACACAAACATGAACACGACGCGATTATTAAACAAGTAACATGACACGACCCGCACAACTAAAAGGATCAAGACCTGGCACAACACGAAACGACAAGGCACGTTTAATTAAAATTCCATACTATGAGGATCATTTCAAACATGAACCCGACACATTTATCCTATGTGTTTAGTTAAATGGGTCTAATTAGGTTATAAACGTGTAGGCAAGTCAAAAAAAAATCGACACGTTTCATTAGCATGTCAATTTAGTTTGACATGAATACGATTAAGCCAAACCCAAATCCACTTATCCCGTGTCGTATTCGAATCGTGTTAGCATATCATATCAATTATTCCCACCCCTAAATTATCATGCACTAACTGCCCAGTACTAAACTTACATCTAACTGGATATGCAACCACATGCCCACAGAATCCACACCTGATGAATGGACAACTCATTTAGAGAAGTTGCTTTTTCCTTTTCTTTTTTGTCTCCAATTTTTTACCCAATTTTTTGCTCAATCAAAAGAAATGTTATGAAGACGGGACTTTACAATCCAACTAACAACAACTAAAAAAAGAAATTAGATGGCAACTATTGCTTAGAAAGCAAATGATTGCTCACCAACTTGTCATATAAATAGATCTCATCAGTATTAATTGCCAAATTAGACAGACTGTCACAATTCCTAATCACAATAATAAACTGGTCTTTTAACAGATTATCACAACCATAGGATGAACTTTCACAAGGGACAAGCACAGTGAAGGTGACAGGATAGGGGGGGAAAAACTAGATGGAACAATCAACTTAGGGAGGAAAAATAATTTTTTATTTGAAGGTACGGCAGAAACTGCTAATAAAAGGTATAAATCAATGTAAAACAGGACAACACAAAGTAGCTGGCTGATAACTACCAAAAACAAGAAGGCGGAGAAGGGAACAAAAGTGCATAAAAAAGAAAAGATCTGAGTCCTTACAAACATGACCTACAGCTACAAGTTAGAATAAAGTCAATGATTGACTACCTAAAACAATGTAGCTAATGTATGTGTTAGAGAGAGAATATGATAAATTATCAGGACTATGTTGCATACTTGAATTTGCAGTTTTTCTAATAAATTCACCAATATGCTATCTGAGCTTGAAATTTTCAAACCAGTTTAAATACAGGTGAGAAATATAAATGAAAGCAACCAACAAAAAGTAATTAAACCAATATATTTAAGGGCTTGTGAATGGATTATATTTGAAATCAGGTAAATATAATCCATTCATAAACCAATGTGTTGGCCTTGCCGGGTCATCTTTACACAGAAACAACACGCATTGAAAAGCTTCCAGATACACAAATCCTTTTTTACCATTAAAAACAATAAGGAAACAGAAAAGGGGATCATGTACCTACTTAATAAACCACATACTGCAATTTTATTAATAATAATAAATATAAAAAAAAAACATTAAAAAATATTAATAAACAATAATAAATAAATAATCCAATGATATCAAATCCGAGCTTTGAAAATTAAAGGAGTTTAATCTATAAATGAAGAAATAAGAGAAAAAAAAAAAAAACACACAAATTATTTTAATAACAAATTGTTTTCAAAAAGAATTTTTTGATGCAATATTCACCCAACAAGTAGATGAATGGAGCAGCCAAAGATCACACATGCATCTGTTGGGGTCAACTTATATTAAATGAGGACAATAAACTATCCGGCCGAAATCAATAAACTTCTAATCTTCAAACCCAAGTCTCAACAATTATAAACAACCATTGACATAAAAAATGCTTTAATGGACCTAAATAATTACTAGTAAATGAGTACTTGTAAAAATCCTAACCACCTACATATCTAAGTAGCTGAAAAGGACAAACAGAAACTCATGAACATAAACCAAAATCCACTAAATCCAAAGAAAGAAAACAAAAGCTAGACCCATTATAACCGTGAAATTTTTTAAAATAAATGAAAGGTCATAATATATAAGAAATAAACAAGCAAATAAAATTAAAATAAATAATTCAAAGCATTTAAACAAAAACCCTAGTTGCATGCATCAATCGAATCATGGAATCAAAAACAAACAAACAAAAAATACATAAGCAACGCTTTCTGGAGAAGAATAAACATGATGTTATAGAATTAAAAACATATACATACATTTATAAAATCTTCTCTTCATCAAATAGCACAAAAATAAATAAATAAATACCCCTCAAGATTTAATATATGAATTCACACCATGAGTTCACCAAAAGTTTGTGTTTTTGTGTGTAGAATGAGAGAGGATAAGCGAGAGAGAGACTCCTACCAGTAAGATTGAGAGACCCATATGACGAAACAGGGATTAATGCACAATTACATTAAGATCACAAAAACCCAAGTAGATTAAACCATTCCAATGCCAAATTATAGTTAAAAAAACAAAAACCCAGATCAAAAACAGCAAAGTAACACCAAATTCTTATAAGATCAAAACATAATTCACAAGAAAACAGAAGTTGTGGGTCTGGAAAAGAAAGTGAAAATCAGGGGGAAAATCTCACTTGGAGCCAGAACTGAGGGTGGAAGCCATCATGACCTTGGGAGATCTGAGACTGGCCACCGGTGGAAGAGCGAAAGAAGGGTACTTCTGGGATTGAAAAGTGAGGAGATTGAGCTTCAGAGCCATTTTCTCAGGTTTTGTTTCCTCCGCAGAACTGATAAGAGAGGAATGCGCAAATGGTAGACACTCACTCACAGAGGGCTGGTGGGACTAGGAGGCCACTTGAGTGTTGTTATATATACGCGTGTGATATGATATTTCACCAGAATACCCCTGATTTTCATCTAAATTACCTGACTTCCTTTTAAATTTTTCCTCATTTGTGTTTTCATTCTTTTTAATAAAGTATAATTTTACTTTGGTCATAAACTTTCTTTTTCAAATCATGTAACTTTTACCCATTATAAATTTAAAAAATAGAATACATTTATCAACGTGTGCAGTCACCTACACATGTTGATAAAAGTTTTAATTTATTCTCTACAATAATAACATTAATTTTCAATTGAAAAACATTTCAACAATTTTCTTATATATTTTAAAAAATACACTAATTATTTAATAGTTATAATTTACAATTGAGAAAAAAAAAAAAAAAAACTACAATTGACCATAGTAATTCGGGCATGTTTGGATCAATTTTAAAGTAGTTTTTATTTTAAAGTTTCAAAGAACTAAAAAGAAAAATAGTTTGAAAATTCATTTGAGTAGTTTTCTTAAATTAAAAAAGAAAAATTGAGTTAGAACAAAAAAAAAATTTGAAATCAACCTTATTTAATACTTGTAGTTCTCTTGATAGATGAAACTGTTTTGTACATTTTAAATTTTGAAAACTGTTTTTAGTCTTCTAGATAAGTAATCCAAAACAAACTCTAGATTTTTTCTCCACCTCTTGAGGGCACTTTTGTCTTACAAATCTTTTTAAAAAATAATAATAATAATTTACCTTGATTTCCCTTACACTTCCTTGTAAAATCCAAAATACTACTGATGAAATTTGAAACTAAAAGCTGGGGCATATTTGTGAAGCGAAAAGAAGTATTGGTGACAAAACAAAAAACTGTGTTTTTTATTTTGATGTCACCAAAAAGCCTGATACAGTAAGCTACAACAAACAACGTTTTTGTTTTGATGTCACCAAAAAGCCTGATACAGCAAGCTACAACTAACAAGTAATATATATTGCCAAAACGCAAGCTTACCAGGTGGACAGGCAAAGAGAGCAATTGCATTCATTGGCCAACGGAATGGATATTCCACTTGGCACCCTACTATTTTACATGGACTCCATCGGTCATCTCTTTGTTTCTTTCTCTGTCCGCTCTCCCTTTCTCTCTCTCTTCTATATTTATAATTTGGGGTGGGGGTGGAATGATGCAAGGAAAAAAATTTCTGAAATTATTATATTTTTTCTATTTTCTTGATAATTATGCTGGAAACTTTTTAAGAATAGTTTGGGTTGGTAAAAATAATGTAGATTGCAAAGAATTTTTTATTAGGGTATGTTTTAGATTGTTATATAGACATGTTGATCAGGACTATATAAAAGATCGGTGGAATCGGAAACCGAATTGAACTGAATCGGTTCGGTTTCAGTTCCAAAGTTGAGTTTCGGTTCAGTTCTGGTTTCAGATCCTTTGGAACCAAATCAAACCGGTTATATATTGTGTATATAGTATATATTATTTTAAAATTATATAAAATAATAAAAATATACATTATAATTGCTTGGATAAAATATAGAGTGGTTTAATGCATTCTGAATCTTCAACTCTTTCTAATATATTATTATTTCAATGTTTATATTAAAAAAAAATACGAGTGATCATTACTTCATTAGCCTAGAATGTTTGGTTTTAGGAGATCTTCAGTAAGTATTTATGCATTAATTTAAATAATATATCAAAAGTATAATTTTGTTTTTTGAAAAAGTAAACAATTTATTTTTTAAATTGTTATAATAGGAACCGTGGAATCGAACTCGGATCAGTTCCATGTCCCAATAATTCCGGTTCCAATTGTTAGGAACCGTTGAAAACGGTTCGGTTCCGATTCCATCAAGAATCGTACCTAACCGGACCGCGTGCACCCCTAATGTTGACAAGTATAAATAAAAATTATTATTCCGTATGAACATAATCAATACAAGTAAAAATAAAAATATGTAGATATATTTATATATAGGGTAAAGTGTATAAAATCTGCATAGCATTTTCACCCCATTTTAAAAAGTGTGTTTTTAATCCTTTTATTCTTTAAAAATTTAGCAGAAACATCCTTTAAATCACTTTTTACATAAATATGACATAAAGTAATGTTGTAATGCATATTTTGCCTTTTTACTCTTCTCAAAATGTCCAAAGAGATATGATGCTAATAATCTAATAATAAAGGGGTATTATATGCACACATTTGCTATTTAAAGTACACATTATGATGATATTAAATACGGAGTAGCTTTTATTATGAAATATTTATTAACATACTTATGACGAAAAGAAAGGTCTTCTTTGATTGGAAGCTTGTCTGACCGGGCATTCTACAACAAAAATTGATAGATTAGGGGTTATTTGCATATTTTGTAGTTCATGTTATTTTTTTGCACATTTATCAATAGTTCAAGGGCTTCTTTTTTTTTTTTTTTTTTCGCATTTTACTCAAAATTTTATATAAACTTATTATAGTGTATAAATCATATAGATTAATTTAGTTTCAAATATAGGAATGTCGATAAACACAAGATGACAAAGATGACAAAGTAGGCCTTCTTAATCCTCGACGCAAAGACTTTTCTTTTTTTGGCGTAGCGGAGATATTTCGCTTCATTCTTGTTTTTTCAAGGGTTTATTTGTTTTGCTTTCAACAAGGGAATCATTTGTTCTTCTTTGACTTAAATTAATAGGACGAATAATTTAAATATGTACACACACAAACAAATTCAAAGTTTATAAAGGAATTCCAAATTAATATTGTAAAATGGATTGTAAGGTTTTTTTTTTTTTTTTTTTCCTCATAAATTTTGTTAAGCATTTTATTGAAATGTTTTAAAATACATGCATACCACTAGTGTCTTAGTTTTTTTCTTTTTGAGAGGGTAGCACGCGAAAAGTTAAAGTGTTCATCTTTCAACACATTAATTAGTAACAACCAACGAGAGGTTCCGCAAAATCCGGTAAATGAAATATAGCATGAAGTTTTTGTACTAAAATTGGGCACTCTCTCAACATACCAACTATTTTCTCATGCCATTAATTGAAGATGTGACCCTCTTGACCTTGCTTCCTAAACTTCAGAGTTAAGGTTTTGAGCTTTTGCTTTCTTCCTTCTTTTCTCTTTTGAAATAACTATTTACAAGTGTCTGTTCCCGTGGTCTTAGACTTTATGGCGTTGAATCAAGAGCACATGGGTATGCATAGTTAGTCCATTAACGGACACTCATGCACATGAGAGCACAGTACTTATTTATTGTCACGACCCGTTCAACCAGTGTAAATATTATTATTCATGTTATTTATTTTGGACGCTCTTCTCATACTTAGTGCTCATTATTTTTTTAAAAATACATACTTTTCAGACTCACGATATTTACACAGTTAAAAAATATCCACACATAAATATCATCAAACTTACACATTTAAAAAGTGTTCACACATGTAAATGTCATCAAATCTTTTCTTGGTGATGCGTGAGCACATTAATATTATTTGAAAATTTCAAATATTAAATACTTAATATTATTGGTGAATTTAGTAATTTATGTTGAATTATATTATGGGTAAATTAAAAAAATGTTGTCATAAAACTCCTAAGTATTTTGGTTCTTGCAAAACTACTCCTCAGTCAGAAAAAATCCATTTATGGGATGAAATTCCTCCTCCCCACCATTTGAAGGGTTTTTTTTTTTTTTTTTCCTTAATAATTTAAAAAAATCACTTTAAACTATATGCATATATAGTTTTTTTCATAGAAAAAAAACCTTCTAATGCAATTAGCTTATACATAAATATTTTCAAAGGTTTTATTTTGCCTTTTTTTAAATAATTGAAACAATGTCACTTAAACTATATGCATATATAGTTTTTTTTTTATAAATATTCTCAAGGGGTTGTTATTAGGAATTAAAGGTTGTTAAAAACATTCACATAATCATATAAAAGTTTCTAAGAACCTTTAATTCCTAAGATCAATCCCTTAGAAATTTTAAAAGCAAAAAAAAAAAAAAAAAAAAAAGACTATATATGCATATAGTTTAAATTGACATTATTTCAATTATATATATATATATATATATATATATATATATATTCATATGGTTGGAGATGGGTAATTTCGTTTCAGAAAGACTGAAGGGCAGTGTTTCAATAACCAAAATACTTAGGGAGTTTTATGACAACTTCTTCTTTTTTTGTTTTTTTTTTTTTTTTTTGGCAAGAATTTTTCCGCAAAAAATTGAAATTAGAGGGGAGTTTTATCCATTTACCCGATTCTATAATATTAATTTCGTTTTTAATAGCAAAATTTGAGATTATGATGTTAATTGATTGACGGTACCTGCAATTATTGTGGCGATAGATTTCATGTGGATGCTATTTGTACCACATGTACGCACTTTTAGTTTAATCAAATTTCAATGTTGTACTAAACAGGTGTTACACATTTATGGTAGAATTGTCATGATTTTGTGGTTGGATGCACCTCCACGCACTTGAATGTGAGTTTAGACTATATTTGTTTCCCAAATTCGGCCATTTAATAGTCACCTACAGCTATATTTTGCTCGGTCTTTAATACAAGACTGTCAATATATTCTTTTATTTCTTCTTTATTTATTATTATTATTATTATTTTTTTAAATCGTAAAAAAATCATTTCAATCCAATCACATAGCTATTTGAACAGTTCACATTACCAATTTACTTTCTCAAAAAAAATATTCAATATTCCGAGAATAATGGTTATATACAGGACTGACTGACTTAAAAATGAGAGAGGCAATCGTCTCCCGTGATTTTTTTTTTTTTTTTTAATAATTGACTCTTAGTAATTTATTTTCTTCAATTATATACCTTTAAAATATTACTATTATTCCTTTAAAATTATTATAAAAATTCATTATCGCCCCCCTCTCCTTCCATAATATCCCAGGTCTGTCCCTAATTATGTAATACCAGTGTCATTAAAAACATTATATTTTATTTTAATTTTAAGATATACTACCTAGCAAATTAACACTGGCTCAATAAAGTTTCCACGCATTTTGTTTATTTTTTATCGTCAAACTATGGTTTTATATTTTAAATGAAAAGGACTTGTATGGTTGGATACTCGAAACCATAAATTTTTACATGAAAAGCACTTGGACTCGGCACAAGTTAGAGAAAAATATTTTCATTCATTTTTTTTGGGGCAGACTAGGGTTGTAAAATGTTCAATTATATATATATATATATTTTTTTTGTCATTAATACAAAATATTTCATTCATTGGAAAATATATATATATATATATATATATATATATATTTTGTATTAGATGAACAAAAGAGTACAACCTAAAACCCAAAGTAAGTGCAACAATGCCCGTGTGAAAGAGGGCCAACCACCTACCATAGGAAAGAAGACCAAAAATTTCCAGCTCACTTTGGCAGAACATTGGACCGACAGTAATTATGTTAGGGGCGGACTTTAACAATAATTAGATAAGAAAAATTCAAACCATGGAATGGAGGCAATTGTGAGGTTTTTTTTTTTTTTTTTTAATTGTAGTGGAGTAATTTGAAAATTTTACAAGTATACAAATCAAAAAAATAAAAATAACAGGTATAAAATATAGAAAAAGAAAATTTTAGCGAGAGCAATTGCCCCCACTAGTCCTACTATAGGTCCGTGCATGGCATAACATATATACTTAAATAAATTAATGATCAATGATGAGTATTATGAAAGTTGAATGTATCGGACTGTTTTATATGAATAGGGATGACATCATAATGACGTTATTTAATTTGATTCCCTGAGAATTTGTTTTGGACCAATGGTCATTCAACACAAGTAGCCCAAACTAATTACCAGGCTTTGGCCCAGGACACAACACAAACTGTTATGACTCTAATCACTCTCAATTCCGATTTTTTTTTCAATACTTTTAAAAAAAGAAAAATTATTGACAAGAAACTCACACAGTTATTTACTTTTATGGGGATTGAACCCTCATCATCCACATAAATAGAGATTATTGCTATCAATTCTTTTTTTTTTTTTTTCCTCTCATGTGTATTCAAACTGACTCTTGAGGTTTAAAAATACAATTAATTAGTAGTATGATAAAATGACTGAAATGCCCCCTTTGTCATAAAGTAAGTAGGTGGACAAAGTTGCCTTTTTCTCAATGTATACGATGTCCTCTCTCCGTCATCCACCATATTCACATAAACCTTTCACTCAGTACAGAATGCAGTTCACATACATCACTCTCTCTCACTGCAGAACTGTCTGTCTTTAATTACTAGAGTTGTCTTAGAAAGTGGAAGTCCTAATTTTTTTCTTTTGGGTAAATAAGTGAGGATAAACAGTATGGGCCAGAAGCCCATTTCTGAACAGAAACCCCAAAAAAGTAAACCCACATCAACCCAGTGATGCCCAAAGAAGACCCAAATGTCAAAACAAAACCCGAACCGGAGCCCAGGTCAAAAGACCACTAGACACCCATAGACCACTACATAAGTCCTAGTTTTTCAATATTGATCAGAAACCAAAGAGACCCAATAGACAAAATCCAAACTACCAACTTCAATCAAGAATCCAAAAGGTTCTAGTGATTTTAAGACAGTTTTGACCAAAAGTTAAACAAACCCCTACCCTAAATCACGCCCTTATGGACCTATATATCTCCACTGCAAAAGATATAGAATTTTCCTAAACAGCTAATTAACGCAGAGTAACATGAAGAATTTTGAAACCAAAATGAAAGCAAGGCCCGTAAGAATATTTCGCGATTCGACCTAAAAATTTAAATAATACATTTTTATTTAGGGATTACAATGGGGCGATACAAATATAATGAAAGTAAATAATAGAACAAATTTTCAACTATGATAATAATTCTTTTTTTTTTATGCGGATGAAAACAAGATTCAAATTCTCAATTGAAACTCAAGACTAAAATTATTGTTAGAATATCAAAATAATATATAGAAGTTCTCAAATAAGAAAAACACAAAAGAATATTTAGTAATTAGAATAGAATAAATTAAGATTTGCTTAATATATACAAAATATTATTGAATATAAAATAAAGTATAAGGACAAAATTATGATTTATCATTATAAACGAAACAGAACGGGTGACCTTTTTCCATCCCCACCCCCTAATCACGGGTGTTTTCAATTCTAACCTTCATCCCTGCCCCAAAACTATTTAACCAGTCATCCCGTAACCGTTCTAAACCGGAGAGCTAGGCTGGCAGTTTTTTTTGCCATCCCTATTTATATTCATTACACTTTCTATTCCTACTAAAATTATGTAAGTAAGAGATGACTCCATAAACTTACTATTTAAAATTGAAGTACTTATAATTACTCCATAAACTTGCTATTTAAAAATTTAAGTGGAAAGGGGGACTATAGGCTTATAGAGTAGTTTCTTTATTCAAGAAAAGATACACCAGAGTGAAGAGATAGACCACAGTTCTCTCTTTTTCTTCATTCAGAGCTTTACTCGCTCCTGAGCCTTTCGACCCTCCCCCGAAAGTCCACTACTGATCTTCTCCACATTCCACCTATCAACCAAACACTCCAATATATCAGCATAGTCCTTGGCAGTGTACACACCGAGCCGCTGTGCAACAGCCGAGAAGTGCCTGAAAAGATCAAAGTCACGTCCATCGTACATCGAGTGGGCTGGCATTGTTATCTTCTTCTTCATCATGTCTGCAAATGCCACGAGACTTCCATCAGGATCAATCTCAAAGAACTTCTCCACTATCTTGGTGTAAGCAGCTTCGTGGCGCTTCTCATCGGAGGCTATGGTACCACATATCTGAGCCAGGCTTGTGTCCCCATATTGCTTGGCAAGCCTAGCTGTGTTACCATGAGAGATAAAGGTTGCCCTCTCTTGGAATGAGGCATAAATGGACAATAGGTAGGGATTATTTTCTGCCTGAATGTCCTATATATTAATGTGAATTAAGGAGAAAAAGTAAACAAGGTTAAAATCAAAATCATACTATTATTTATCTAATAAATATGCATTAATTAGTTGGAGTGGCAAAATCATATTATGTATGTGTGTCAGTGTGTGCACTGTAACTTCCTTTAATTAGCTTGGAACCTTTCAAAGTTTGAACTGCTAACATAAGAACATGTGATTCGTACAACGTTAGTATATATATATATATATGCTAGCTATTGGTTAGTACTATATATCTCACCATTCCAAACCCAATCAGATAATGAATTGTTTTCTCAATTTGCTTCATGTCAACTCTTCCAGAGAGATAGAGATACTTGTTGAGGAGGTCACCATGCCTGTTCTCTTCAGCAGTCCATCCCCTAATCCAAATTGCCCATGCACTGAGGCTTGAACACGATTCGTCCCGAATTCCGTCAGTAGTATTTAACACTGATTGGTAAGTTGGAAGGGCTTCTTCTGTGATCATATCTCCAACCAACACAACAAAGTAGTCATCCGGGATCTCTTTGGCCCTCTCTCTGAGTTCCTTCACTTGCTCGGCGAATTCGTCCGCCGACCTAGTAGGGTCTGGCAAAAAATCCTGTGGCTGCCAAGATTTCTCAACTTGTTTTAGGTGAATCAACACATTGTTCTTAGCCCAATCATCCAGGGATTTCACTATCTCTAGCTTTTCTGGTGGCATAGAGTGTGTCACTTGACAACGTGGCTCTTGAGCAAGTGCGAATTGCTTCTTCCTCAAGCCAACCTCCCTAGATATTTAATTAGTATAAGAAAATTATCAAATTTGAGGATGAATTCTTCTTTCAAATCACTACTAAATACAACGTATATATATGGAAAAAGCAGATAATAAAAATATATTCTATGACACACCTGGAGCTGGAGGGGAGAGTGGAAGCCATGGAAATCTTGGAATATGTGAGATGGGCCATTGGAATATTGCGAGGAAAGGAAGGGAATTTTAGAGATTGAAAATTAATTTTGGAATTGATAATCACAGACATTTTCTGTTCACTCAACCAATAATGGGAAGAAACGTAAGCCACCTGGGTCTAATTTATAGACAAATGGTAGAAGTTGGTGGGTAGTCGATCGTAGCCACATAAATAATTCAGCCAACACATGCAGAACTCCTATACAATATGGATGTATGAACCTAACGAATCTAAAAATTATAGGACACGGCAAAAATTAAAAATACAATATATTTTACATATATAAAATAAAATGTTTTTGCCCATTTATCCATATAACTATGAGTGAGAACACTAATTTGAAGCTTAGATTTAGATGTTTGTAGCATTCGTTTTCTAAAGGTTTAAATTATTTTTCAATTTATTCATAATATATTTAAAATTGCTTATTACATTCGTTTAAAAAACACATAGGAATAATTTCAAAAAAATGGTGTCTTGGATGTCAAATTACAAAAAGATAGAGTTAAACTTAAGTTTTTCAAATTAATAGAGTTTTGTCAAATGCTGACATGAATATAAAAATTTTCTGTTAATTATCTCTTGATTTCCAAATTGCCCATCATATGTTGTTGTGAAATAACCCCAACTACCCATTTAATTTTTTTCTTTTGGGACGGTTCAAACAAGGGGTAGAAAAAAAATGTTTCATCTCCACTGATCTGCAACTCCATTGGATTTGTGAAGTCCAAAAAAGTTAAGAGAGACGTTTGATGTAAGTCGATTAATTGATTTACCCTTTCAATTGCTTTTTCCGGTGAGTTGGCCGTAAATGTTCTCTCCATGTGCTCTTTTATTTTCTCTCTAGAACGCAGAAAACAAACTTATATCTGATCTTTCTGGGTTTTGTTTGAGGTGTAGTGTTGTGCTTATGGAGAGAAAGCAAGGTTCTTTTCAGCATTGAAAGGAAGAGTTGGTGAGAGGTTTATCGCCAGGGAGATCCAGGGGGTAAGGAGTGGGTCTCCGGAGCCACGTGGCGCAACTGGAGGTATTAATTTTGAGATTGGGGAGGTTGAAGCCGGTGGCGGCTTTGTCGACTTCCCTCATGCTCGAAACCGGTTGGGTCCTGATGCGCGATTATGGATCTTTGTCGCTTTTAGATTTCGGTCTCAGTTGAAGCTGTTGGGTCGCTGGTGGAGGTTGAAGCCGGTGGCGACTTTGTCGCCGTTGATGGAAGGACCTGATCAATTGAATAGGATAGTTAGGTCATTTTGCAACAAGGGTAGTTTGGGAATCAAAATATAATCTACGGTAAATTTCTACGTCCAAATCAGCATTTGACAAAACTCCATTATATAAAAAAATTTAAGTTTGACCCATCTTTTTGTCCTTTAACTTTCAAAACACCATTTTTTTAGAATTATCCCAAAAAAATAATTATAAAACCATCTCGCTATGTCTTCAAAAGTGTCAAAAATGTATATTGTCATGTTTAAGCCGTGTCTATGTATGTTGTGTTACAATCGTGTTTGACAAAAAATAAAATAATCAAATTTAAGGACTCTTTTAGCTATGTATAACCCTTGTTGAAGACGTGTCTAATATTACTATAACGTTTAGGAGAATGTATCCATACTTCCTAACTTTAGTACATTTAAGAAATCTTTTAAAGATAACTCTACCACTCTATACATTAAAACAATTCGATCCCTAACATTATTTTCTACACCTTCACAAGTTTTTGCACATGAGAAAAAGCTATACCTCATCATTATGATGTTTATTTAATCTTTTAGGTGTAATTTTTGGAATATAACTCAAAACTTTTTATAAGATATTTACATGTAATTTTTCTCAGGATCCATTAAATTAATTTTGTTTCCATCGATATTCGAACATTCAACATCGTTAGTTAGAGAATAAAGCTTATACCAACTAAGTTGGTGTCGATGATGATCCACTCTTTGCTCACCGGTTGTTGTAACCCTTACAATGAAGACCCTGTGGTCCATTTGCACAAAAGTTGTGAACGTACAGTCCTTAAATATGCACTCATAATGACCATGCATAGTGTCTATCACACATCTTATCCAACCCACCACCCCACTATCACACAAGCTCAAACAAGGTCTCAAACCAGCGAGTTATAGATTGTTATATTCGCCAGTTCTATTAGAGGCGAGTTTTTAGACATATAAGTATATATTATTACCAGTAGAATCACAACCACCAAGTAGCTTCTCGCTAACTGTTGCATAGAGCATAAAATTGATTTGATCAGGACAGCTCTACCTGCATTACTATAAAAATTTTATTACCAGTAAAATTGTTGCTAATTCTTGTAGTGATTTTCTTTAGTCTGTCACTTTTTTTTGGCGTTGGGTTAATATTTGTTTGAGTGAACTAATACTAGTAATAAATTTATTTATTTATTTGACTGGGCTAAAATTGCTTATAGTAAAAAAAAATAATTATTTTTTTGGAACAGACACATAATTATTCCCAAAATTATTACCCTTTTACTTTTCCAAAAATGCTCCTCCAAACCTTACTCTCCACCCCAAAACCGCAACCACCAGGCAAAGCAAATTCGTGAGATTGAAGCCTTTTTCATTGTCGTGGAGTGCCACATCACCATCGGCGACCATAATGAGTCTTGATGCACCAGTGATGAACTGGGTTTCGAAGCTCCATGAAACTGTTCCAAGACTGAAGCTCTCAAGACGACTATGGCAAAGGCAACGACAATGGCCCACCGAAGATGAAACCTCCGGCGACACGGATCTCTGCAACACTCTCTAGGTCTCAGTTTTGGGTCGCTGGTCATGATGTCAATCAAGGCCTCGTTAATGAAGGTGAAGGTACGTGGTGTAGACGACGATTTTATTGATTCCAAGGTCATAGAGGGAGAGGTGGAGGTTGCGGACGGTCGAGACGAGGTTGCCAAAGAGGTATGTGTTCACAAGGTTAATGGTGTTTTGGAACTTGTGGTTGGGGAAGAAGAAGAAAGACGTGGTTTGCACTGCCGGGGAGGTATCTGTTATTTTAGGACATGATTTTTGACTTGCGACGGTGAATGTATTAGAGATATATTTGACTACTTTTGTCACGACCTGAAAATTCTAATAAAATCCTCAATACATACAAATCCAAATACATCAAAATATACTCATTATCAAAAAAAATAATAATAAAAAAAAAATAAAAACCCTTCTTTTATATAAAGTCAATTTCCTCAAATATACACAAAAATTCTCCAAATAAATAAATAAATCTTGCAATGCCAACTCTTCCACCTAAGCCCGAATCTAGCAATCTTCATTCATCTTCGGTACCAGAAACTAGAGGGTGGTGAGACAAAAGTCCCAATAGGAAAAACCATAACAATAATTTCATGGAGATTTAACAAAATAGCTTCACAAAATATATATATTCATGTGAGTATATAAACAAAATAAATATGCCTTTAATTAAAACACTTAATAAAAATCATTAAAGCAAAATCACCTCATGTCATTCAAGGTATAGAGAACCCTACACTGAAAAAGATTAATTTCTCATTGGATCATCAAGTCTCAAGCCTCCGGCCTCCTCTGCAACTCTCGGCTCTCTCTCTCTCTCTCCTCAAACTCGGCCCTCTCTGTCTCTTTCTGTCTAATTTTCTTTCTTTTTTTAGCTTACTAAACTCACAAGACATATACCATATATAAAGGCAATCCACCGACAATTTCCTATACATCAGACCAAACCCACATAAACAATTCAAGGTGAAAAGCTTTTTGCCCCAAAAAAATCTCTTCGTGGGTCCACCACCATCTATCACAATTTCCATCATCACATCATTTCATTTTCCTCGTCTCATTTTGGCCAATCTGCCTTCCATCTTCAGCATTAGATAACATACAATATATATATATATATACATGAAACCAACCAATTAAAAGTCTAAAGTGGGACCCGCCCAAGAAACCATCACAATTTCCTTTCTCTCCCTTCCCATCTCGCTGGTACCTTGCTGCCACTAACAGATGTTACATAATATATATTATATATATATATATATAATATGTAACCCAAATACCAAATCAATTAAAATGAAACATTAGTCTTCAATTTGGTAAGTCTCTAATTTAAAATAAAATAATTAATCTTGACAACTAAAAATCATAAAATAATTAAATTAAAATTTTAAAAAAAATTCAGGTTATCACAATCTCCACCACTTAAAAAAAAAATTCGTTATCGAAATTTAGATCCAACAATCTTTGTATATCTGAAAACACCAATAACCACAAAACAAAATCCAAATCCTTGCCCTAGGCGATGTGAGATACTGTGATATGTAGGATGTTGTGGTAACTGCCAGTGTTAGTCACCCGCCTACACACTCCGTAACCGTTGTGGTAGCTAGTTGATGCGTCACCTGCCCATTAAAAAATAATAATAACAAACCTGGGCTACCTGTGATACCCCTCGGATCCGAGACACGGGTTAATCAGGCCCAGGCCCAAACCCGAGGGAATATCAAACAATTAATATTTTATAATGAACATGGAATACAAAATAAATTAAGAAATGAAATTAAAGTTGGAAGAAACTAAAAATAGAATCCGCAAAATATTATAATTATTAAAATCCATCAAACCCAAACTCTAAAACTCCATCAGTTTACAACTTGGGAATCCATCTCTAGTGGACCCCTATTAAACATCTATACGGAAGATAGAACAACTGTAATAAACGTCCAGAAATAAAACTATAGAGAGAGCCCTACATCGTCGGAAGAGTGAATAGAGACCTCTGCTCAGCACGAACACGTCTAAGCCTGGAACTGTCGTGTACCTGAAAAATAAAAGTGGGTCAGGCCCACGTGCAAGTTATATATTACTACAATCCAAACAGAGGCCCGATACGCATGTACATCCTAAACAATTCAACAATAGCTAATAGTCCGTAAATATATATATAGTCACACTAAAGGACTCTCACTGGACTACAGGCCGGTCTCAACCTGAATAGAGGTAACATGCTAAAACGCACACGAAGTGGGCATATGTACCTATACCTAAACAAGGTACACCTCCAACCAT